TACTCAGGAGGCTGAGATCTGAGGATCGTGGTTCAAAGCCAGCCTGGGCAGGAAAGTCTGTGAGACTCTTATCTCCAATTAACCACCAGAAAACTGGAAGTGTTGCTGTGGGTCAAGTGGTAGAATGCTCTCCTTGAGCTGATGAGCTCAGGGACAACACCCAGGCTTCAAACTTCAATTCTCAGATTTTGGCATCCTGAGTAGCTTGGATTACAAGTATGAGACACCTGTACCCAGCCAATGCTTATTTTCTCATGATTTTATTTGATGAATATTCTGTGAATAATCACATTCTTAGAAATATCTTGAGGCTGAGATCTGAAGATAACAGTTTGCAAGTCAGCTTTCACCAGAAACTCCAGGAGATTCTTATCACCAGTCAACCATGCAAACAAACAAACAAACAAAAAACTGGAAGTGCTTCTATGGCTTAAATGGAAGAACACTAGCCTTAATCCAAAAATCTTAGGGACAGTAAGCCTAGCAGTGAGACACACAGACCAAGACAGAGAGAGTGGGAGGGGTGCAGAGAAAAGGAAAGAAGGAAGGAAGAAAGAAGGAAAGCAAAGAGTCAGAATGTTCGAGTTCTAGATTTAGGAGGCTTTAATGGGTCTACTGCTTCATCTAGCCTTCCATGAACATCGTAGTTTGTGCTTTTAAAAATATCATTCCCTTAGCTTGCAAGGGAACCTGCCATTGTGCCAGTTCCCTTGTCTATGTATTGAAATCCTCCTATGGAAGCTTAACCTTTAGCCCTGTCAACTGCATTAGCTCTTCTCCCTTCCCAGCCATCTCAAATATCATAGAATATTGCTCAGGCCAGAGAGCTTGTATTTTCTCAATGTTGTGTATATAGGGAGAGTTAAATAATTTTGAATAAACTTTATTGTCTTTACAGAATGGTATTCATAAATTCAGTGTTCTCACCATATCAATTTAGCTTAAAAATGAATCTAGTAGCCCCCTGCACCTACCTTTTTTGCTTTCCCTTAAGTCCCTCATATATGCAAAGTAAATACTTACTAGTGTAGCGAGATAATAAATGAAAATCAAATAAGCTAACAGAACAAAGTTGCAGATGGAACAGGAAAATATATGTTTGTTATTTTCATTCCTTTCCCTGCATTTTTGCTGGGAAATATTTTTTTTGGATTACCAAAGAGCTACAGAACAGTTTCAGAAATGGACTTTCATTTTGTCCTTTGTTTCTTCCCCATAAATCAGGTTCCTTAGCTGGTCTGATAGACATCTCTGCTCATTGGATGACAGACTTAAAAGAAGGTATATGCACCGGAGGATTCTGGTTTAACCATGAACACTGTTGCTGGAACTCTGATCATGTCACCTTTGAAGACAGATACAAATGTCCAGAGTGGAATAGCTGGTCCCAGCTTATCATTAGCACGGATGAGGTAACATCTAGTGATCATTTCTGAACTATTCAATTTTATGCTTAGATTTATCTCATTTCTTATACTCATGGCAATTGTAGAATCTTCTCTTATCATGAAATTTAAGGAATTAAATTTTCTCTGGAAAAGCATAACCCATTCCAGCTACCTTTTCTGTGGTTTAAATACAAGCTCTGTTTCCTTGCTTATCTTAAAATTTTGATTTGTATTAAATAAGCTTGCTGTTATAAAGTATAAATTATCTTCCCTAATCATTTTAATAGAAATGTCAGTGACAGCCAACATGTAAGATGTCATTTCTAAAAAGGGATGATGGAATGGATTTAAAATGTTTTATACAGACACCAAAAGTGATTTTCCTCTGATCATTCCATTAGAATACTTTTTAAAAGTATCACAAGGGCTAATGGTGAGGCCAGCCCCAAGCAAAAAATGCAAGACCCTATCTGACAAATAACATAATAAAAAAGACTGAGGGCATGGTTTAAGTGGTAGAGCACCTGCCAAGTAAGCAGGACTTGATTTTAAACTCTTGTGCAACCAAAAAATATAATTCCAGGTTGAAATAACAGAAACCCAAGCTGGGCACTGGTGGTTCATGCCTGTAATTCTAGCTACTAAGGAGGCTGAGATCTGAGGATTACGGTTCAAAGCCAGCCTGGGCAGCAAAGTCTGTGAGACTCGTATCTCCAATAAACCACCAGAAAACTGGAAGTGGTACTCTGGCTCAAGTGGTAGAGCACTCGCCACTCGCCTTAAGATGAAGAGCTGAGGGACAGCACCTAGGCCCAGAGTTCAAGCCCACACTAGAGCTTATTCCTTCTCTCTGTGTTTTGGTACCCATTATCCAACCTCTCTGTACCCTTCTTTTCTTTCCCATTTTAGCCTCTAGTGGCCACTATTCTGTTTGTTTTTTTGATCCCAAAAAAACAAACAGAAACCCAGGAATAAAATTGCTCATACTCCCATTTTGTAATCAAATCAATACTTTCATTGTCAAGCTAGCATGTTTTTTGATGCAAAAGTAACTTTGGTTTTCCCCCCTTCCCCTCCTCCTTTCCTTTCTCTCACCATTCTGTTATGTGCTAGATCTCTCTCACTGAAATGGGAAGTATACCAAACAAAAAATTCTCAGCTCCCTATTCCACTCTGACTGCTACCAATGAAAACAGGTACTTTATTAGCTCCCTATGTATGCATTCTGCTGATGAAGTAAGGAAATATGTTTATACTTTAAAGTTTTAATTTTATATTTACTTAAAATTTTTGTGCCAGTAATGGGGCTTAAACTCAGGGCCTTGTGCTCTCACTTAGCTTTTTCACTCAAGGTCAGCACTCTACCACTTGAGCCACACCTCCTTGCTTGTTAATTGGAGATAAGGGTTTCATAGACTTCTGCAATACTCAGATCTCAGCCTCCAGTATAGCTAGGATTATAAGCATAAAACATCAATGCCTGGCTTAAATTTTATTTTATTTTATTTTATCTATTTTTTTAAAAAGAAAAGTAGAATACAATTCTATTTTTAAAGCTGGCCACTTAAAAGTTGAAAGTAGAATAGTGGCCACTAGAGGCTAAAATGGGAAAGAAAAGAAGGGTACAGAGAGGTTGGATAATGGGTACCAAAACACAGAGAGAAGGAATAAGCTCTAGTGTTTTGCAGCACTATAGGATGACTATAATTGACTACAAATGGTTATATGTTTTATTTTTTTGGGTGGTGATGGGAATCAAACTAAGGACCTGACTTATGCTAGGCAAGTGCTATGCTACTTAGCTACATCCTCTTTTTATATATTTTATAGAGACCTAGAAGAAAGGAGTTAGAGGGTTCCAAATACAAAGAACTGTTAAATTTCTAAGGAGATAGAGATGCTAATTATTTAAGTTTGATAACTATACATTATATACATTAAATATATGTACAATTATGAGTGAATTAAAAAGAGAATGTGAAATTAATTTTTGTTACTGACCATGGTACCCAAACAATTGGTGGTTGTTGGGGGCATGTATGTGTATGTGCATACAATCAACCACAGGAAAAAGATAAGACTCAGAAATAGGGTTTAGGTATATATTGACTTAGAAAAAAGGTTCACTAAAGGGGTAGATAACTGCTGTGTGTTTGCAAGGACTTAGGTCTGTGCTTCTCAAACTGGAATGTGGTCAGTGTGCCAGAGGGCAGGTGAAACCACAGAATGAACATGAGGTGCCTTTCCAGAGCATCTGGTTTTCCTATTTGTAAGGAATGTGTTTCAAAACTTAAATGTAAACAAGGATTTTAAAATGGAATGTAAAATTTCCCTTTGTTTGGTGTTGGAAATTGAACAGAGTTTTGCATATACTACACAAGTGCTCTACCATTGAGCTATATTTCTAATACCTGGTTGGGTTTTTTTTTTTAATTTTGAGACAGAATGTCACTGAATTACCCAGGCTGGCCCTCAACCTTTGGATCATTCTGCTTCAGCAAGCCAAGTAACTTCACTTAACAAACAGACAAACAAAGCAGCCAGGTGCTGGTGGCTCACCCTTGAAATACCAGCTACTCAGGAGGCTGAGATCTGGGGATCCTTGTTCAAAGCCAGACTGCACAAGAAAGTGGAGATTCTATATTCAATTAATTACCAAAAAGCCAGAAATGTGGCTGATGCTCTAAGTGGTAGAGTGCTAGCCTTGAGCACAAAAACTCAGGAACAGCGCCAAGGCCCTGAGTTTAAGCCCAAGGACAAACACAAACAACAACAGTATCACAGGGCACTGGAGGCTCATGTCTGTAATCCTACTGAGGAAGCTGAGATCTTAGAATCAAGAATTGAAGCCAACCCAAGTAGGAAAGCTTATGAAACTCTTATCTTCAATTAATCACCAGAAATGTAGAAGTAGGGCTATGGCTTAAGTGGTAGAATGCCATCCTTGAGCAAAAAAGGTAAGGGACAGTACCCAGATCCTGAGTTCAAGCCCCAGTATTGGCACAGACACAGGATCTCTTTTAGCTCTGTTCCCAGGTGCTGCCACCCTTTACCTGCTTGATGTCTATGTTTACTTTCCTAGTTTAAGAAGAAAAGTTTGAGATGTCCTCGAACTTATGAAGAGGTGGACGAAGAGAGGGAGAGAGACAGAGGGTGAGGCAGGGAGAGACAGAGAGATGGAAAGTGAGGCAGAGAGCAAGGAAGGGGGAGAGAGAGAGACAGACAGAAAGACAGAGACACAGAGAGAGAGAGAGACAGAGAGATTTTCTTGCCCTGGAAAAAATCTAGATTTTTTTTTGGCCAGTTGTGGGACTTGAACTCTAGGCCTGGGCACTGCCCCTGAACTCTTTCATTCAGGCTAGTGCTTTCTACCACTTGAGGCACAGCAACACTTTTGGTTTTCTGGTCGTTCATTAGAGATGAAAATCTCATGGACTTTACTGCTCAGGCTAGCATTGAACTGTGATCCTCAGATCTCAGCCTCCTGAGTAGCTAGGATTACAGGTTTGAGCCACTGGCATCTGGCTCCTCTAGGTTTTAAGAAGCCTTGCCTTACCAAGAATTTGGCCTACGGATCTCTGTCTTTGACCAGTTTCCTTTACTTTCCCTTCTACTCCCTTTCCTTTCCTTTTTGTTTTCTATCTCTGGAAATATCTTGCTCCCAAACAACATTTGAAAGGCAAAGAGGTAGCCTTTGTCTTTTCCTTTGAAGAATTAAGACCATGGAAACCTGTCTCACAGATAGGACTCAGAAAAAAATATTATCTGAACATTCTGGCTCTTCTTATCTAGGTCTGTAAATTGTTTTAGTGGTGTTTTATATTTTGAAGAGTCAAAAGTCTATTGAGTTTTATATTCCATGTAATTTAAATGAGTTTCAATTCTTAATATTTCTACCAGCAAGTATAATTTCCTAGTGTCCAAAATTCCTGTTTTGTAAGGCCTGGCTATTTGCCAGTCCTTTAATGTTGATTTTTTTTTTGTCAGTGTGAGGCTTGAATTCAGGGCTTAGGTGCTGTCCCTGAGCTTTTTCAATCAAGGCTAACACTCCACCACTTTGAGCCACATTGCTACTTCCTGTTTTCTGGTGGTTAATTGGAGATGAGTCTCAAGGCCTTTCCTGACTGGGCTGGATAAGAACCATCGTCCTCAGATCTCAGCCGCCTGGGTAGCCAGGATTACAGGCATAAGCCACCAGTGCCTGGCTAATGAATTCTTTTTAGTGATCAAAACTAGATTTCTTTTAGCAAGATTTTATTATCATAGGGATGTTAATCTCAAAAGTATATTTTGTCCAGATGAAAATAGTTATTGCCATTTTATTATTTGGAAAATCTGGTATCATCAAAGCGAGATGCTTTCTACTTACACACTTGTTGCCAAGGCTGTCGTAGCACAACTCCAAGATGTTATCATTATATGCAGAATCTTAGAAGATGGTTGGATAAAGAGAGTAGTAGCCTAGTGGTGACTAAGGGCAGGGAAAGGGAGGAAAAAGGAGAAGTAGTTGAAAGGGGCAAAATTGCAGTTAGGTAGGATGACTAAATCTAGTGACACAGCTCTCGAGGACTGTGGTTCATGGAATTATAGACTGACATTTGCTAAGAGATTAGATTATAAGTACTATTACAACAGTACAAAGAAAGGTAATTGTGGAAGGTAAAAGATACAGAAATCTATTTGGCTATAGGAAATATGTGTATTGAAACCTTGGGGCTGGGAGCATAGTCTGGAGTATTCTTTTAGTATACATGAGGCACCAGAAACCAAAATGAACCAAAACAAAAATCCCACCAAATATCAAGTATATTGTCAACATGGACAAAAAAAATCAAAGAAAAATATTCACTGTTTTTCATCCTTATAATCTTCTGTGAGATCTGACACCAAGGTAGTAGCCAAAAGTGAATGCAAGACACTTTGGAGCTTGTCTTTCTTCAAATGTAGCTGAGATACAGCCATTCCAAAACAAAAGGGTGATGGAGGTGGTTAAACTTCTTGGTAAAATTGACATTGAATCATGTGTTTGGAACTACAAAACCTATCAAGGCACTCATATAAAAATAAAACTGACCTTCGTTTCAGAATTTTCAGTTTGCTTTTCTATGTTGTCCATTCTTAGAATCTGTTGTAAATGTGCTCTAGGTTGAACAAACTATCTCATTTACAATACCAAGTGTCCTGTCAGTGTGTCAGTAGTTGCTTTACTGATAATCGGGAAAGAAGTATTTGAGCAATTTAATATTGTCTTTTTCTTTTTGGCCTTCTGATCTGGAAATCCATACATACAGAAGTAATGTATCTCCTTGAGGCAACCTTGGCTAAAACAAGCTTCTGTCTTTTCCTCTATTCCAGGGAGCCTTTGCCTACATAGTGAATTATTTCATGTATGTCCTCTGGGCTCTTCTATTTGCCTTCCTTGCTGTATCTCTTGTCAAGGTGTTTGCACCTTATGCCTGTGGCTCTGGAATCCCTGAGGTGAGTCTGTTAAAATACCTTATACACAGTAACAACATGCTGGGTGCAGGTAGTTCATGCCTGTAATCCTAGCTACCTAGGAGGCTGAGATGTGAAGGATCACAGTTGGAAGCCAGCCAGGACAGAAAAGTCCTTACCTACAATAAACTATCAAATAAACCAGAGGTGAAGCTTGTGGCTCAGGTGGTAGAGTGCTAGCCTTGAGCACAAAAGCGCAGGGACAGTACCCAGGCTATGAGTTCAAGCCCCAGGACAGACACAAAATATAGTGACAATTTGATGAATCCTCTTTTGGTTAAAATGTTGTAATGTGCATTTCAGCATATACCACTATTTGGGGATTATGAAGTAGAGTGGGATCCTGAAGCCACTTACAGCTTTTCTAGGTTTTCTTGCAGTCTCCTTTCAGCCTAGGCCACCTGATTTACATTAGAAGGAAGTAATGGTGGCTAAACCCTATTTCTTACTACCTTTGATTTAGATTGCTTGATAGCAGTTATAACCACTGCAATTGTAAGTTACTAGGATGACCTTTGCCCTTCTCTGTTTCTTGAATAAGTAATAGTCACAAATTTCTCAAGCAAGAAATCAAGACTAGATCTTTCCGTTTGTTTCAGGAACATTGACTATGTCCTCTCAGACTATTGCTTCATGGATCACCAATTTTCCCATTTCCCCATAATTAAATGACTATTTTAGAGGTTGGAGAGATTGCTTAGGTGGTAGGGCACCTTCCATTGAGTAAAAGCAGCAAATAATTGAGTTTGAGTCCTGATCTTAGACAAAAAAATTGACTGCTTTAAGAGCATGTTGTGCTGTATAGAAATCAGCATTCTCTCCCATAATTCTGTGCATCTGGGGCTATAGAAATGTCATTGTTGCTACCTCATATCCTCAAATTAACATTCTCAGGTCTCAATAGTAGGCCTTCCTGTGGGGAATCCTCCAGAAAAAACAAGCTATTTTCCCAGTTCCTATAGCCCTCTTTTGGTAGTGTATATCAATAGCCTTTCCTAATATATACAGAGGAGTAAAAAGGAGAATCTACTAGTTAGATATAAGCACAACGGATAGGTCAACATATTAGTAGTCCATGTATTTTCATTACAAGTCATAGTGAGCTAATGTGATTCGTCATAGAAAGGGGCCACCACTTCTCCATCTATACACTGTCAGGTGTACAACACATCCTCACACAATCATTACATGCCCCATTCCCCCCCAAAGGATATGTACATCTTGACAAACAATTCTGGCTTTCTTGGGCTCCTAGATCCTTCCCAAGTAGGGATCATTGTAGGTCAAATCACTCTATTAAAATTTACACTTTCTGTCATGAGGTCCAGATTTAAGCTCTTAAGCCTTGCTTTTAATGTTTAATGTCTCTGTGTTTGGCCTGCAGATAAAAACTATCTTGAGTGGCTTCATTATTAGAGGCTATTTGGGTAAGTGGACCCTGGTCATCAAAACCATCACCTTGGTGCTGGCAGTGTCATCTGGCCTGAGCCTGGGCAAAGAGGGCCCCCTAGTGCATGTGGCTTGCTGCTGTGGGAACATCCTATGCCACTGCTTCAACAAATACCGTAAGAATGAAGCCAAGCGCAGAGAGGTAATGACATAGTCTTACTAGTTGGTTTTTTTTTTGTATGTGACAGCATAAATAATCAAATCTTAGGGGTTAGAATTTGGGGATTCTACCAATGTGAGTGCAAATTAGTAGTTAATACTATAGTGAGCTACAGCATATGTTTGTGCACAGGTGTCGGGATAGTTAGTGCATTGTTTTGTCAGTAGACTGAAAGTCTGAAGCAACCCAAATGTTCATCAATAGGGCTAGCCACATAAACCTTATTTTGCATATATCATAGGATAATTTTGCAAATATCAAAATGAATGAGATAGTAGCTTGGTTCAGTAGCTCAAGCCTATGGGCCCTCCTACTTGGGAGGCAGAGATCAGAGAATTCATGGCCAGCATGAGGGGAAAAACTGTGAGGCTCTACTTTTGACCAAAGATTGAACATGATGGCACACACCTGACTTACCAGCTATGGGAGAAGCACAGTGACTGGATATGATGGCACACACATTTTAGCTATGTGGTGAAACACAAATAGGAGGATCACAGTCCCAGTCAATTAGGGCATAAAGTGAGACCCTATCTTGAAAATAACATTCATAAAAGGGGGGTTGCTAGTGGAGAGGCTCAAGTTGTAGAGTGCTTGCCTAGCAAGCTCAAGGCTCCAAGTTCAAACCTCAGTACTGCCAAGAAAGAAAATGAATGAGACAGAAAGATACACATACACTCACATGCATGCACTCACACACACACAAAATGCTAGGGATAGAAGAACACTATTACTTTAAAAGCCAGTGTTTTGCTTTCTTTTGTTTTTTAAAATGAGTTTAACCAGGCACCAGTGGCTCAGGCCTATAATCCTAACTACTTAATAAGCTGATATATGAAGATTGCAGTTTGAAGCCAGCCCAGGCAGGAAAGTCCATTAGACTCTTATCTATAATTAACCAGCAAAAAGTTGGAGGGGGAGCTGTGGCTCAAATGATAGGGCACTAGACTTGAGAAAAAAAAGCTTAGGGACAGTGCCCAGGACTGAGATCAAGCATCAGGACTGGCAGACAGAAAAAAAGTAAGTTTGTAGGTAGGCACTGATGGCTCAGGCCTGTAATCCTAACTACTTAGAAGATTGAGATACAAGAATCACCATTTGAAGCCAGCCCAGGCAAGAAAGTCTGTGATACTCTTATCTTCACTAAACTACCAAAAAAGTTGGAAGTAAAGCTGTAGAGTTAGTGGTAGAGTTGCAGGCCTTGAGCTCAAGCCCCAGGAACAGCACACACACACAAAAAGTGAGTTTGTGACTATATGTATGGTAGAATTAAAGATTTTTTGTGCTATTAGGGTTTGAACTCAGGGCCTCAGGCTTGCTAAGCAGGTATTTCACCACATGACCTACACTCCCCAATTCAGGTTTTTTGTTTTTTGTTGGTCGTGGGGCTTGAAATCTGGGCTTGGGGACTGTCCCTGTGCTCTTCAGCAGTCTACCGCTTGAGCCACAGCGCCACTTCTGGTTTTCTAGTAGTTTACTGGAGATAAAAGTCTCACAGACTTACCTGCCCAGGCTGGCTTTGAACCTTGATCTTCAGATCTCAGCCTCCCAAGTAGCTAGGATTACAGATGTGAGCCACCCGCACCCAGCAATGTTTCTTTTTAGAGTACATACATATGCACTTAACAGGAAAATGTTTGGAAAGTGGTGGTTAAAGACATACTTCTAGTGGCTAGGGAAAAATAAAGGAGGATTTTAACTTTTATTGTATATAATCCTAATGTGTTGCTTCTATTATAAAAGAAGTTACAGATAGGTACAGTGGCTCACTACTGTAATCCTAACTACTCAGGAGGCTGAGACTGAGTTTGAAACCAGCCCAGGCAGAAAAGTCCCTGAGAGTCTTATCTCCAATTAACAAGCAAAAAGCCAAAGTACAGATAGGGATCAAATGGCTCAAGTGCCAGCCTTGAGTTAAAAAGCTAAGGGACTGCGCCCAAGTACTGAGTTCAAGTCCTAGTAGCAGCACACAAAATAAATGAAGTTACTAAAGGGTGACATTGTCCAAAATAGAAAGGTACTCATTACCTAAGTTGTGAAATGGTAACCCCTCCTACAAAACCTTAATAATAACAATAAAATTATATTTTATTTATTTTTTGATGACTCTGGGACTTGAATTCTGGGCCAGCGTGCTGTCCTTGAGCTCCTTGCTCAAGGCTAGCACTCTACCATTTGAGCCACAGCACCACTTTTGGCTTTTTCTGTGATTAATTGGAAATAAGAGTCTCAGAAGAGGAAGCCCACCTTTGACCACAATCCTCAGATCTCAGACTTCTGAGTAGCTGGTATAAACAGGTGTGAGCCACCAGCGTCCCGCTTATTTTGTTTATTTTTGTCATTTATGGGGCTTGAACTCGGTGTCTCTGAGCACTTTTGCTCAAGACTAGCACAGCTCCACTTCATTTTCTGGTGGTTAATTGAAGATAAGAGTCTCATGGAATTATCCTGCCCTGACTGGCTTTGAACCACCATCCTCACATCTCAGCCTCCTGAGTAGCTAGGGTTACATGTATGAGCCACCAGTGCCCAGCTTAAAATTATATTGTAAAAAAGAACTAAAGAAAAAAAAAGAACTATGGGGCTGGGAAGGTGGCTCAATGGTAGAGTGCTTGCTTTGCATGCAAGAGGCCCTGGGTTCGATTCCTCAGCACCACATAAGCAAAAAGAAAAAAGCTGGAAGTGGAGCTGTGGCTCAAGTGGTAGAGCGCTAGCCTTGAGCTGAAGAGCTGAGGGACAGAGCCCAGGCCCAGAGTTCAGGCCCCACAACCGGACCCCCCCCCAAAAAAAAAGAAAAAGAAAAGAACTAAAGAAAGTCATGGGTTTTAAGAAAGTTGTTTATTCCTGTGAAAGAATAAATAAATACAAATGGTATGTGTTTCAGATGTCAGCCCTTTCATCTTTTATTTCTATGTAATGCCACATTTGGTTTAGTTTCTATTGTGTTAGACCTCTGTCCACCTCCTACCTTAACCCAGACCTACTATAACAACTGTAGTTCTCAGATTTACACCGTTTTTTTAATGTATGGTATTTTGAGCAAGTAAAACAGTTCTTAAAAAACGTTCCAAGTAATTGATTTTTTTCCTGAACTAATTAAGGATTTAAAAAACTAATGTTTTTTATTGAATTATTTTCCTTGGACTGCAAAATAATCACATATGGAATGGATCAATACCAAGATCTTTTCATTAAAAAAAGATTTTTCACAAAATTGGAACCTGGTGATTTCTTCTGAAAACAAATAACAACAACAACAAAAAGATTTATTACAAGACCCAGAAGGAAAAAACAAGATGATGAGATTTCAAATGTGGCATAAATTTTGATGGTTTAAGAGGGAAAAATTCCTGACAGGAAGAAGACAAGAGCTAGGACGAATAAGATAGGAATGCGCAGTAGGTTGTTGAGCTTCCTGACCTATAGCAGAGGAACACAAGCTTGTGTTGGATTGGGGAGTTATTAAATGCAATAAAGTACAATGAAAGTGGAAGAGTTAAAAAAAATTGGCAGTAAGTACTTTGAACTCAGGACTTTGTACTTTCTAGGTACATGCTCTACCACTTGAGCCCTTTTTGTTCTGGCTATTTTTCAGATAAGAGTCTTTCCTTTTTTGTTGTTCATGATGGCCTGGACTGTTGTCTATCTTTTTTTTTATACTTCCTGCCATATCTTGGATGACAGACACACACCACCATCCCCAACTATTGGTTGGGATAGAGGTCTTGAGAATTTTTCTTGGATTTAACTCAAACCACAACCCACCTGATCTCTACTTCCTGAGTATCTAGGATTTCAGGCATGAGTCATCAACATCTAGCTGCAGACAAACCATTTTAACAGACAAGAGTAAAGTGTTAATTGTTGCTGGCTAGGCATGGATGGTAGTGAATTTGGAAGTGACTTTCCTTCCATAAAATTGTCATTTTTGTTCAAATCGTTTCTTATGCAAACAGAAGGGAATTTTGTCTGTTTTCTTCCATATAGATGCCATATATTTCTCTGACTATATAAATATTTGCATCTTCAACGTATCATTTATTCATGTTTTTCAATTGTGTGGTACTAGGGATCAAACCCAAGGCCTCCTGCAAGTTGTCCTTTTCTATTCTCATCATTAGGGCATGACCAATGGCCTTCTCAAGGTGGACAGATGGTTGTGAGAAGGAAGAATGTAGACAGATTTCCCTGAACAATATGAAACTAAAGCAAAGCAGCCAACTTAGCTCTTTTTTTCTCCTTCCTGATTTATCCCAAACATAGCCAGTGAAGTCTCCTGACTTTAAGTCATATATTAGTTGTTCCTATTCTCCTAAAATGAAAGCCATTGGAAAGCAGGTGAGGGTGACTCATACCTGTAACCATAGCTACTCAGGAGGCTGAGATCTGAGGATCAGAGTTCAAAGCCAGTCTGGATAGGAAAGTCTGTGAGACTCTTGGTTTTTTTTTTTTTTTTGGTCTGTCGTGGGACTTGAACTCTGGGCCTGGACACTGTCCCTGACCTCTTCAGCTCAAGGCGAGCACTTTGCCACTTGAGCCACAGCACCATTTCTGGTTTTCTGGTGGCATCTCACAGACTTTCCTGCCTGGTCTGGCTTTGGACCGTGATCCTTAGATCTCAGCCTCCTGAGTAGCTAAGATTACAGGCATGAACCACCAGCCCCCAGCTTTTGAGATTCTTATTTCCAATTTACCACCTAAAGAGCCAGAAGTTGATCTATGGCTCAGTGGTAGAACACTAGCTTTGAGCAAAAAAGTTAATGGAAAGCACCCAGGCTCTGAATTCAAGCCCTAGTATCAAAGAGAAGTAAGAAAAGAAAAGATCAACAGGCTGCATTTCCAAAATAACCAGGAAAAAAGTTGAGCTGTAAAATTTGCAGGGCACAGGGCCAACAGTGAAAATCTTATTCTTCCCCTGCTTTATTTTCCTGTACCTTACTATACTCTCAGAGAACACTGAACACTGCTAATTTTTCCAAGAATCATTTCAATTCTTCAAATCTTATTTTGGTTCCAACTTTTCTGACTCTCCAAATCTTCTATTTCTCCACAGCAACTAGAATTCAAAGAAGAAATTCACAGATGCTGGTTTGTTATCACCAGTATTAACCCTATATACATTACATGTCCCACATGCCCACATAGAGGTGACACTCTCCAAATAATACTTGTTCTTCCTATCTCTCTGTCCTTTTGTTGTTGGTGGTAGTGGTGGTCTTGGGGTTTGAATTTGGGACCTGGGTGCTGTCCCTGAGTTCTTTTGCTCAAGGCTAGTACTCTACCACTTTGAGCCACAGCTCTACCTCCAGTTTTCTGGTGGCTAATTGGAGAGAAGAGTCTCATGGACTTTCCTGACTGGACTGGCTTTGAACTTTGATCCTCAGATCTTAGCCTCCTGAGTATTTAGGATTACAGGTGTGAGCCACCAGTGCCTGGCATCTCTGTCCCTTTTTTGCCTCCAGTAGCTTCTTCAGGTCTCTCCTAGTCCCTTTCCTTGTCACTCCTAAATACATTTAGATCTTCTCTTCTTTTGAAAATCTAGTTTCTTTTGTTTTATTGTGAGAATACCCTACAGAGGAGTTACAATTACATGGGCAACATAACGAGTACATTTCTTATCAAGCATTGTTGCCTCCTCATTGTTTCCCCTTGAAAATCTAGTTTCTTTATTTCTGTTTCCATAGGTAGTTGGGCATGAAGTAGGGCACATGGTACAGGAAAGTAAATATACAGTTTATGAATAATGCAGCTCCTGAAGAGCTATAAGCCAATTGTAGTTTCAGCTCTCCATCATTAGAGCCTTCTTTAACATTCTCTCTTAAGAACACATTCCCTTTGTGGAAGGTCAAATTTTGTTTTAGTTGTTGTTTTGGGTTTTGTGATTGGGACTTCTAACTCAAGGCCTCATGCTCTCACACGACTGTTTTCCTCCAGGCTTGTCTTCTACCACTTGTGCCACAGCTCCACTTCCAGCTTTTTGGTGGTTCATTGGAGATAAGAGTCTCACAGACTTTTCTGCCTAGGCTGGCTTTAAACTTGATCCTCAGATCTTTGTCTTCTGAATAGCTAGGGTTACAGGTATGAGCCAAAGTGCCTGACCAGTCAAATGTTTTTTTTCCAGTGGCCAGAGGATAAGGAGATTTAGGAGTTGCAATTTTGCAAGATGAAAAAATTCCGTAGAACTATTGCAGAACAATGTGAATGTAATTAACACTGCTGAACAGAATTTTATTTTATTTATTTTTTTATTGTGAAAATACCATACAGAGGGGTTACAATTACATGGGCAAGATAATGAGTACATTTCTTATCAAGCATTGTAGTCTCCTCCTTTGTTTCCCCTTCCCATTCCTTCCCATCCTCCCCCTCACCCCCCATCCAATCCTCCTCCCCCTCCCCCCACCCAATCCTCCTCCTTCCTTCCCCCCCACCAAAGTTGTAAAGTTCATTTTCGAAATAACGACTTGTACATCTCATTGTTGCAATGGGTCCACCTGTATCACTATTTAAATGATTTGTTTTTCCCCTTTCCCTCCACAAATTATACCGCCATCAAATACAGTGAAAACAGGGGTTATACTGTGGGGGAGGGACATACAAAGCAACAAAGAAATCATCTTATAAATGTGTTAGAAACAATCACATGAAAGAAAAAAAACATTTGAATACATATCTTAGGGTTCATTTCCCTAACATCAACTTATCTGACCTTTTCTGCTTGACTCAGACATATACTAGTTATTGCAAATAAGGGAAACCATGGGACCTATGTTTCTTTGGGCCTGGCTTATTTCACTTAATATAATTTTTTCCTAGTCTTTCCATTTCCTAACAAATGGGGCAATGCCATTCTTTCTGATGGAGGCATAGAATTCCATTGTTGAACAGAATTTTAAAATGAACAGAATATATAAAAACATTCCTTTATGAAAGGAACTAATTAAATACATCACTGTAAATACTGCATTATATGGAGGGATGTAGATCTCCAAACTCACATTGCAAGTACTGCAGATCAGTGTTTAATTTGGGGTAAAACATGAGCCTTGATCCCAGGAAAGGCCCTCTTTGCTAATTAAGCACATGAACATCATAGGTGTTCAACCTATAGGAGACAATGTTTACTGTTATAGTAAATTGAAATTGAACTGTGTTGTCCAGCATGGAGTGTGTAAAGGTTTTAAACAAAAATTTTAGTAATCACTATCACTCCTTTAAAAACAAATCAAAAGGTCTGGGATGTAGCTCAGTGACAAAGCACTTGCCTAGCAAGTGCAACGTCCTAGGTTCGATCCCCAGTACCAAAAAAAAAATAAAAAATAAATAAAAACAAAACAAAACTGGCTCAAGTGGCTCACGCCTGTAATCCTAGCTTCTCGGGAGCCTGAGATCTGAGGATCACAGTTTGAAGCTAGCCCAGGCAGGAAAGTCCATGAAACTCTTTATTTCCAACTAACAAGCAAAATGCTGGAAGTGGAGCTATGGCTTAAGTGGTAGAGTTCCAGCCTTGAGTGAAAAAGCTTAGGGACAGTGTCAAGGCCCTGAGTGAAGCCCCAGAATTGGCAAGAAAAATAAAATTAAAACATTAGTTTTAAATACCATGTTTGGGGGCTGGGAAGGTGGCTCAGCGGTAGAGCGCTTGCCTTGCATGCCTGAGGCCCTGGGTTCGATTCCTCAGCACCACATAAGCAGAAAAAAAAGTCGGAAGTGGTGCTGTGGCTCAAGTGGTAGAGTGCTAGCCTTGAGCTGAAGAGCTGAGGGACAGCTCTCAGGCCCAGAGTTCAGGCCCAAGACCGGACCAAAAAAAGAAAAAAAAAAGAGTTAAATACCATGTTTTTCTCTCACTAATTTTGAGTTTTTGATTGTAGGTTTTATCAGCTGCAGCAGCTGCTGGTGTATCTGTAGCCTTTGGGGCACCTATTGGTGGAGTGTTATTCAGCCTTGAAGAGGTAATGGATTCTGACAGTCTGTAAAGTATATGTGTGCTTTTATAATTTTTAATTTTTATCGTTATTACAAAAGTGATGTACAGAGAGGTTCCAGTTACGTAAGTCAGATAAAGAGTACATATCTTTTTGGACATTATCACCTTTTCCCTCACTCTTCCAGTTTTTCCCTCCTGTTTCCACCCACAAGTTGTATAGTTCATTTTCAACATAAATCTGTGTGTTTTTGTGTCAAAAATGTTGGCCAGTATTAATGTATGTGCTCTATACAACTCAATGTACTTTACCATGTGACTAGAAATCCCAGGGTACTTTTTGTTCTTGCTTCTAATGCCAACAGCACCAATATTTCACCTGAAACATTTCTGCTGATTAACTGAGTTTGTTTTCTCACTTTTGTCTTACAGGTCAGCTACTATTTTCCACTGAAAACCTTATGGCGTTCCTTCTTTGCTGCCCTAGTAGCAGCATTTACTCTACGCTCCATCAATCCATTTGGGAACAGCCGCTTAGTTTTATTTTATGTGGAGTTTCACACTCCATGGCATCTCTTTGAGCTTGTGCCATTCATTCTATTAGGCATATTTGGTGGCCTGTGGGGAGCTCTGTTTATCCGCACAAACATTGCCTGGTGTCGGAAACGTAAGACCACACAGTTGGGCAAATATCCTGTTATAGAAGTACTCATTGTGACAGCTATCACTGCCATTCTGGCCTTTCCTAATGAATACACCCGAATGAGCACAAGTGAGCTCATTTCGGAGCTGTTCAATGACTGTGGCCTTCTGGACTCCTCCAAGCTGTGTGATTATGAGAATCACTTCAACACAAGCAAGGGCGGTGAGCTGCCTGACAGACCTGCTGGCGTGGGAGTCTACAGTGCCATGTGGCAGCTGGCTTTGACACTCATACTGAAAATTGTCATTACTATATTCACCTTTGGTATGAAGGTGAGGACATCTTGTAGTGCTCAGTGTCTGTATGTGTGGCTGTGGGTTTTGGCTGTGGTGCCAAATTCCTCTAACATGATTATCTACCTCTAGACCCACCCCCCTTTGTTTCCTACTTATTCTCATAACTTGCTTAACAATTGTATCTCTATCTCATATTGTTTAAGCCTACTTTTGTGCCATATGCAAATCTCAGTGATAAGATTTTAGGAAGATAAATTTTCTTTGTTTTTCTTTTCTTTTTTTTGGTGCTGGTCCTGGGGCTTGAACTCAGGGCTTGGGAGCTGTCCCTAAGCTTTTTCACTGAAGGTTGAAACTCTACCACTTGAGCCATAGCCCTACTTCCAGATTTTTACTGGTTAATTGGAAATAAGTCTCATAGACTTTAATGCCCAGGTTGCCTTCAAACCACAATCCTTAGATCCCAGCCTCCTAAATAGCTAGGATTACAGGTGTGAGCCACCAGAACCCAGCAATTTTTCTCCTTTTTTTGTAGAAACATATTTTGCTTTCCCCAAAGGATGATGAGGTACTTATTCTGGTACATTTCATACCAAAAATCAATATATGTTGGGCCATGGTCTGTAAGACTCTTATCTCCAATTAGCTACCAAAAAGCTGGAAATTGAGCTGTGGCCAAAGTGGGGAAAGCACTAGCCTTGAGCAAATATGATGAGGGACAGTATCCAGGCCCTGAGTTCAAACCCCAGGAATGGTACATATTTTTTTTTACTGTTATGCTATACCCAATAAATATAAACCATTATGTGCTAATTTTTAAAAAAACAGACCTCAGAGTAGTATATTTTAGTCCTAATACCTGTTACAGCTTCCATGTTTCAGACAAAATAAAAAAGGAGGAAACTTTGGTATCTTCCTTTTCCTAAGTTTTCATTTGTTTCCTTGCTTTAGCACCATACAACCCAATCATTTCTGTCTATTCTCCAGTGAAACAGAGATTCAAATCAGGATGGAGACCATGAAAAGTTTTGCAGAGACTCATGAGTTAATCTTTGACTTGTAGTTTCATAGTTTTATTTAAAGACCAGCAGAATACCAACTTCAAATACATTCTAAAGTCAAACATAGACTGGTTGAGAATAACCCACTGCCTTTCTTCTTGTATTTAGAACATTAGTAATTCACAGGAACATTCTAGCAGCCAAGGGAAATAGATAGATGAATTTTTCTTTTTAGTTAAGCATGTAGCCATAGCCATAATCTCTTTATAAATTTTGTTACAAAATAGATTGAAACCCTATGCACCATTTTTTTGGTATGTGAGTGATGGATTCAAAATAGTAGCATAGTATGGGCATTCCATTTAAATCCTAGCACCAGTTGTTACTAAATTTTGACCTTGAGTGAATGACTTAATCTTCTGGACTTTGGGTTCTTTATCATTGTTAAATAATAATGATACTTCTTAAATAATAATGACTACTTATAAGCATCTATAAAACCTTGTATCCTTCATAGAATATAGTAGTCAATGAAGAGTAGATTGTTATCAATAAGAATTCAAGATTGAGGAAATGTCTGCATACATAAGAAATTCCATCTATTTTCCTTTTTCTTTGGGAAAGGCCTGATTTCTGACTCTGTTCTGTGTTGGTCTGGAGAATTTAGGCTCTTGCCTGCTGGACCCCGAATCAGGGTAAGCTGCTTTGCAGTTGTCCTTGCCTGCACGTCCCAGAGAACCTCTAGTGCCTGTAGTGTTCCACAAATCTTAAAGCCACTTGCTAGCATAGTGCCTCGTTCAATTGTCATTGGCCTGTTTGCTTTGCAGAGGGTCAGTCCTCCAGCCCTTACCACATGCCAAGCAACTTCGTCATTTATCACTAATTAGATCTTGCTTTCTCTTTGCAGATCCCTTCTGGCCTCTTTATTCCTAGCATGGCTGTTGGTGCTATAGCAGGTCGCCTTTTAGGAGTAGGAATGGAGCAGTTGGCTTATTACCACCATGACTGGACCATCTTCAATAGCTGGTGTAGTCAGGGAGCGGACTGTATCACGCCTGGCCTTTATGCCATGGTTGGGGCTGCAGCCTGCTTAGGTGAGTAGTGTTTGCATTGATTTAAAAGAAGTCACTCTCCAGGTAACTTACAGAAAACAAGTGATATTGCTGGGGATGTGGCTTGATTGGTAGAGTGCTTGCTTAGTGTGCATGAGACCTTGAGTTCGATCCCAGCACAGTTGGGGGGAAAAACAAGCATGAAAGTACTTTGACTTCTTTACTAAGAAGAGTGATAATAAACATGGCTGACTGCAGAATATTTAAAAAATGATAATCCATTTCCTGTTGGGTTCACTATTTTTCAAGCATTTTAAGGAAGCTAATTCTACTCCCATGCTGAGAAATAATCAGAAATTGGACAAAGATAGCTGTGTAAGAATGTATGTCAGAGCCGGGCACCAGTGGCTCATGCCTGTAATCCTAGCTACTCAGGAGGCTGAGATCTAAGGATCACAGTTCAAAGCCAGCCCAGGCAGGAAAGTCTATGAGACTTTTTATCTCCAGTAAACCACTCAGAAAACCAGAAGTGGTGCCGTGGCTCAAGTGGTAGGGTGCTAACCTTGAGCTGAAGAGCTGAGAGACAGTGCCCAGGCCCAGAGTTCAAGCCCCACGACTGACAAAATAAAAAAAAGAATGTATGTCAGTATTATTGATATCAATAAAATATGATCCAGATGTCATGGCTCACACCTGTAATCCCAGTACTTGGGAGGCTGAGGCAGGAGAATCTTAAGTTCCAGGCCAGCCTGAGCTACATAGTAAAAACAAAAGGAAATTATTACATAAATTGTGGTCATCTGTATGACATCATGTTATGTAGCCTTTAAATATGTCAATGTATGTAACATTTAAAAATATAACATCAAATTCATAGTACAAATTGTTCCCAACATAAAATGGGGGGAAAGCATGGGGTAGAGAACATAATATGTTTCCCTCTGTGAAGACATAGTTTGCTTAGAAAGTACTTGAAAATGTCGTGTAGAATTTTCACTCTGTTTGCTTATAGGCAGTAAGCTTATTAATAATTACTTTCATCTTTTCTGAATTTTCTACAATGGGCATGCGTTACTTTTATAATTAGGGAAATGAAGTAACATGTGAAAAAAATCAAGAAGGCATCTTGTACTTTGTTATTTTGAGAACTCTGAGTCACATCTGTTTTAACCTTACTTTAATGCAATCTCCGGGGCCTGCACAGTTGTCAGTGAGACCCTATTCTAGCATTATTTCTGGTAAGTACGTTTTTCCTAGATGGGGCCTGTGATAGGCCCACAATTGTAATGAATCCTATGCTTTGTCTTCTTCAATGGCTTGTGTCTATTTCTTTGCAGGTGGGGTGACTCGGATGACTGTTTCTCTTGTTGTCATAATGTTTGAACTAACTGGTGGCTTGGAATATATCGTGCCTCTGATGGCTGCAGCCATGACAAGCAAATGGGTAGCAGATGCTCTTGGGCGTGAGGGCATCTATGATGCCCACATCCGTCTCAATGGATACCCCTTCCTTGAAGCCAAAGAAGAGTTTGCTCATAAGACCCTTGCAATGGATGTGATGAAACCCCGGAGGAATGATCCTTTATTGACTGTCCTTACACAGGACAGTATGACTGTGGAGGATGTGGAAACGATAATCAGTGAAACTACTTACAGTGGCTTCCCAGTAGTAGTGTCCCGGGAGTCTCAAAGACTTGTAGGCTTTGTCCTTCGAAGAGATCTCATTATTTCAATTGGTAAGGATTTCAGAAAGGGGATAAGGGTCTCCCCTCTGGAATTCGATAAATATTCATGAAGTTTCCTGGTGCTGGTGGCCCATGCCTGTAATCCTAGATACTCTGGAAGCTGAGATCTGAGGATTGCAGTTTGAAGCCAGCCCAGGCAGGAAAGCCCATGAGATTCCTATCTTTAATTAATCATAGAAAAAGCTGGAAGTGGTTCAGTGGCTCAAGTGATAGAGCACTAGCCTTGAGCAAAAAGGAGTTCAGCAGGGCTGGGAAGATGGTTCAGTGGTAGAGCACTTGTCTTGCATGCATGAGGCCCTGGGTTCGATTCCTCAGCACCACATAAGCAAAAAGAAAAAAGCTGGAAGTGGTGCTGTGGCTCAAGTGGTAGAGCGCTAGCCTTGAGCTGAAGAGCTGAGGGACAGTGCCCAGGCCCAGAGTTCAGGCCCCATGACTGGACCCCCCCCCCAAAAAAAAGGAGCTCAGCAACAGTGCCCAGGCCCTGAGCTCGAGAGTCTCAGGATTGGCAAATATATATAGATAGATAGATATACACACACACACACACATATACACACACACACATATATGAGTATAAAGGGAGTCCAGGGAGAATAGGAAACTAATTAGAGCTAGAACTTTCATTTTCAATCTTTTTTTCTGTTCAAATAGAAAATGCTCGAAAGAAACAGGATGGGGTTGTGAGCACCTCTATCATTTATTTCACTGAGCATTCTCCTCCAATGCCACCTTACACTCCACCCACCCTGAAGCTTCGGAACATCCTGGATCTCAGCCCCTTCACTGTGACAGACCTTACACCCATGGAGATCGTAGTGGATATCTTCCGCAAGCTGGGACTGCGGCAGTGCCTGGTTACCCACAATGGGTAAGAACTCTGGGGTGAAGGCAGATTGCATTCTGGGAGAAAAGCAAATGTGGTGACAGAAAGGAGTACCTGATCTCAATGAACATTAGCAACACTTTTAGGCCTTTGTGAAGCTCTTTGGATAAGACAAATGTGTTTCTCGTGTGTGTGTGTGTGTGTGTGTGTGTGTGTGCGTGCGTGTGCGTGCGTGTGCGTGTGTGTGTGTGCGTGTGTGTGTGTGTGCGCGCGCGCGCACGTGCACCCGCGCTGCTCTTAGGGCTAGAACTCAGGGCCTGAGCACTGCTGCTGAACTTTTACACTCAAGGCTAGTAGTGTTGTGCCACTTGAGCCATAGCCTCACTTCTCAGCTTTTTTTTTTTTTGAGGTTTATTGGAGATAAGAGTCTCATAGACTTTCTTGCCTGGGCTGGCTTTGAACAGTGATCCTCAGATCTCAGCCTTTTGAGTAGCTAGGATTACAGGCATAAGCCACCAGTACCTGGCTGGCTATATTTCTTTTACCATCATAATTAATAAAAGAGGAATTTGTAGAAGAAAGTGTTTGAGAAACATGAACTGTGCAGTAGTAACTCAGGTGTTCCTCAGCAAAAGACACAGCCATGTTCTTGTGCATAGGCAGTACTGAAACTGTCATGGTATCAGGTGGGTTAGTATAGGACAGTAGTCCCATGATCCTGGGGGTATTCCTTCCAAGACCAACAATGGATGCCTGAAACTGCATTATGGTATTGAACCATATATACAAACTATATTTTTGTTATACCTACATCCCTATAATGAAGTTAGTGGCACAGTAAGAGATTAAGAACAACAAATGTAAAATAGAACAATTATAACAGTATATTATAATACATTATATGAATATAATCTCTCTACCAATATCTTATTTTCTGGTATTGTGTTTCTGAACAGTGATCTGTCACAGGTAACTGAAACCAAAACCACAGACAAGGAGGAGACTATTGTATTTGGCCCTTCTAATCCCTTTGTTGGTATTATTTGAGGACAAGAAAACCAAATTTCAGTGAAGTCTGATGATTTACACAGGAGTCTCCAGTTAATAAATTGTAGATATATGTTTGAAAATATCCTGAGATATTTTCTTGTCCAGTAAGAAAGTGTCGCTGTTTTTTAAATTAGAAAAGAGCAGAGATTGATGAGAGGGATGGCGTTTTTTTCTGAACATGCTATCAGCAACTACACTATTTTATGGGAATTAAATCAGTAAAGGTACATTTACTAATTGATTTGTTCAACATTGATTGGATTCCTGCTTTGTGGAAGAAAGAATTCCACTGGATTCTGGGGAGAATGAATGAAAATGAAAATAAAGAGCATTTTCTGCACTCAAGGAGTGTTCAGTGTAACAAGGAAGGCACACACAAAAGTGGTTATAGAACAATAGCAAAGCTGATGAGTGCTATGAAAGATGTGTGCAGAGAACACAAGGTTCCTAGGGAGAGGAAAGAGTTACTGCTGGCTTGTAGGACCAGGGAAGGTTCTAGAAGTGGGAAAATTTAACCTGGCTGTGGGGAGGTAAGAGTCATATGTATAGAGAAGAATATTTAAACCAGAAGAAACTGCAAGACCTGAGACATAGAGATAGAAATGCTTGCATCCTTTAGGGACCTGTGTACATCTCTTTATCTCATCATTCTGGAAGTGTTTAAAGACAAAGTTGAGAAGGGTTAAGGAAGGCGTCTTGGGCACTGCTATTTTTGTTGTTGTTGTGGGGCCTGAACTCTGGGCCTGGGCACTGTCCCTCAGCTCTTCAGCTCAAGGCTAGTGCTCTACCACTTGAGCCACAGGGCCACTTCCTGCTTTTTCTGCTTATGTGGGCCTCATCCATTCAAGGCAAGCACTCTACCACTGAGCCACCTTCCCATGCCAGGGCAATGCTATTTTAACTGCACACTTACACTTATTTTACTTTGGTTGTATTGTGTTTTGTCTTTCAGGCGATTGCTGGGAATCATTACCAAAAAGGATGTGCTAAAGCATATAGCACAGATGGCAAACCAAGATCCTGATTCCATTCTCTTCAACTAGAATCATGGGTTGTTCTGGATATAAGACAGGAAGGACATTGCAGACCATGGATATATTTTATTAACTGGGTACCCAAAACACATTTCCCATATTTGGATGGTGAAGTCCTAATTAGTGTGTTGTCTCTTTCCTAAAAGTTAACCAGTTGCACTACATAATCTCTGGAAATTAATCTTCTCTTTAGGAGAAAATACAATTAGGCTTCTGTGATCTTTGCATTAGGAAGATTTTGCGAAAGAGTATACAAGATTGCTATGGTTTAATCATATTTGTGTTAAGTATTTTTTTACTTTTAAAAATAACTGTTAGCCAATATGAAATCCCTGAAAACTATGCAAGAAAAATTCCAGCCGTCCTGACATATAGCCTGCAGGAAATTCATAAGAAAGTCACTTTTGGGGGTGAGAGGAAACCTGTTATTGGTGGAAGATGAAGTGTAAACTTAAGGGGCTTTGCTTTTTCAAACTACAGAAAAGAAAGCCAGAAGGAAAAAAAATAGTCATGGTATTTTCTAGACTGTGAAGATTCAATTCCAATGTTATCCTTGTTTCTGTTACAACATTTAGCATTATTAGTTTGTTATGTGTGTATGTGTATGTTCATTTTAATTTCTGATTATAAGAGAATGCTGCTTTGGTTAATCTCCTCTAAATGAATTTAGAGAGGTTGACTTTTATAGCTTGCTTGTTCCTGGTACTCTTTTGAAGTGCACAAAGATAAGTTATAGAGCTTTCTCCTTGTCTGCAAAAAAGGGTAAATTTCCAGATGGTATTTGTTAGCTAGTAGACAAGGACTTTGCCAGGCATTTGTTAATCACAAGGAATGATTTTTTTCCCCAGCTTCCTTGAAACAATTAGTAAAGTTTTAAGCAAAGTCAATGACTAGGAATTTCACATTTTTGTGAGGTCCTAACTTTCTCTTACCCAGACGCTGCCTCCATGAGTGATGGTGCTTTAGGCTTCTGGAATATGTAAGAACAGTAAAGGGAATCAAGTCTAGACTGCACACTGGTAAACCAGGGAAGATTCAGAGTTGCATCGGCATCCCCATGCATTCCTTTATAAAGTCCGCCAGAATTAACTGGGCATTCATGCTCCTCCCAGTGATAAATATGTATAACAGGCCAGTGTTGTCCCCAGGAACATGAATTAAGCTTGGGATACTTTGGAATTATATTGAAGGTATTGGAAGGGGATAGGCCTCTGTGACTCCCTTGATGGTCCTTAGAATTCTAAATAAAATGCAGAGCCATCCTAAGACCCCAGGGGTATATGGACAAGGCCTGGTGTCACCAAAGGTGCTTGTATCCAATTGAAAAGGTGCCTGTCTCAATTTCATACCACATTTATTGCAATTTTTAAAAAATCACACTATAGGGACACCGAGTAGAATTAAAGAACCACCACTATCATTCCAACCACTATTTCATTTTTCTATAGTTTTTATCTGTGTGCAATTACTCCCCTTCCATTTCATTCCCCTTCTTTCTCCTCAGTACTGAGTCTTCTCTTCTGCGGTTGAATACTATGCCTGGTTAATCATTCCTAATAACAAAAAGGAGCTACTAGGGCTAACTTGCAAGTCAAGGCTCAGAAGTCTTAAACACATGGACTAGAGGACATACAGCACTTTTCTTTGCCTTGTGGCCCAGTTGCTGCTGCCATGCTCCCATTTCTGCTCCCAGATGCCCAGGGCAGTGAGGCTATGTTATCAAGGGTGAGTGTTCAGCCTTGTCCATTTTACAAGTCTGTTCCCAAGACTTCCGGTCATCTTTCCAGGCCAGAAACAGCCATCACTTGGCCCATTCCCCTGGACCCACTCCTCCACCCTCAAACACTCCACTGTACCTCATTTTAAAAGTTATTTATTCCCCTAGTCGAGGACTTCTTAGTGCTAGGTTTTTTCTAAAACCTGAAAATCTTTTATTGCCCAGAGCTGAGTAGCCAAGGCTTATTCTTTTATTTTTAATCTTTAAAATATTAAGGCAACTCCCCTCTCTACTTTCTCCTTTGAAGTATTATCAGTCTAGCATTTTTAATGAGAAAAAAATGTTTCAGGGTATATAGTATTGTAGTTGTGGTTTAGTAATTTTATATCCTTTGTCCCTTCCATATATATCGCTGAGATATGAGATAAGACTCTCTGTTTGACCACTCTATATATTATGTATACATCAAAGTTCTTATCTGTATAGTTTTGGTTCAATACCTATCCTCATTAGCTGTCCTTACCCATGCAAGTTTGCAAAACTGGAAACATTACATGCCTGGTATCTGATGGCAGAGGAGAGGTTTGCTCTTATTTCATAGTACAGCAGCAACACAGAGGGAGTCCCATTTTGCCTTTGTTTCTTCTCGGCTTTGTTCTTGATTTTCGACAGATGAGCCAGTGTTAAGGTGCTACTTCAGAGAATACATTCAAGAAATCAGACAACGCTGTGCCAAGGTATACTTTCTAGATGTTAAGTACCAATTGGCCCTCAAGAGAATGACAATATTCCTTTGATACCTCATTCCTGATATATCACATTCATTAACCTCAGCTGCTCAGGAATCCTTTGTAGCTTGTATGCTAGATATAGTGTCCACTCTATGTCCAATCCTATGATTTGGCTCAAAGGTTGGCTAATTGTGGCTAGAGTACTCTATAAGACTGCTAGCTCAGCACTCTGACACTCAGTGGTTTCGGTCTTGAGGTTAAGGAAAGTATTCTTCCTGCCATTACAATTCTAGCAATGAGACATCCTTTTATTTTTCTTTTTTTGTGCTGGGCCTGAGGCTTGAACTCAGGTCCTAGGCACTGTCCCTGAGCTTTTTCATTCATGAACTACAGCTCCACTTCGTGCTTTTGAGGTCATTTATTGGAGATAATAGTCTCATGGAATTTCCTGCCTGGACTGGCTTTGAACTGTGATCCTCAGATCTCAACCTCCTGAGTAGCTAGGATTATAGTATGAACTACTGACACCCGTTGTAAGCTCCAAACCAAGCCAATATAGGGAGAGAGTGACAATAGCCTCAAAGACTACATAATGCAGTGGCCAAAGCAAGATAGTGTATTTTGATATCACAAAAGACAATTGCCTGATACAAGGAAGGGTTTAGGAAACAATACCAATAAGTACTTTATCAGAGTTTGGATTTTCTAAGGAAAAATATCCAGAGGGCATCCAGCTACCTATGAAGGGAGGGAGGGGCAGCCCTTAGAATTTATTTTTTAAGTCTAACTCCTGCACTTTGTGTCTTCAGTTCCTCAATTGAAGGAATCTAAGGAAGCTGAAACAGTTAATGTGACTTAAATTGGAGGGAAGAAGCAGAGGACTGATGTACAAAATAATATCTATGTGAAAGATAATTTCTATTTTGATGTTTGGTTAGGAGTGAGTTGCAACATACTCTTTCTCTGGCCCCAGTGTCCTGGCTCACCCCCGCTGTAGAGTTAATCACTAAAACATAGACTCTGGTGGATTATCTGACATTTGAGATTCTTGAAATTGGACAACTGGAAGAGCAAATGATAAATTTGCTAATTAAACTGCAAAAGAGTTCGGTTGTGTTGGCACTGAATTTGGAATCTAAACCATTTAAAGGAAGAGCAGCATCCTTGTAAAATATCTCTAAATAAGTGAAGTGAACTTAAATGTCCTAAAACCTTCTTTTCTTGGAACTTCTTTAGGATTCTCTTTGGGGAGGAAATCAAAACTGTTGAGAAGGGCCCTGGTAAGAAAATATACGAATGGTATCAGGTGGTATGAGGAAAGCCATCCTGTGTTCCATACCATGCATCCTCACATTGGGATGAATAGAAATTGCTTGATTATGGGACTTGAAGGAAGAAATAGGTGAAGTAATCTGCCAAGGCCAGGATTGCCAAACAAACTAGAGGCTCAAAGTGATGTTTGGCTCAAGGGTAGTTTAGTTTTATGGAGTGAATGGACTTAAGACATTAGCTTATGAAGAAATATACCAACTAAATGGATCTCTGTCAGCCTTCCTAACTATGTTCATTATATGTTGAAAAGAGAAAGGTGAGAGCTCCTCAAGAAGCATTCAGGAGCCATGTAAATTTGAAGCTTAGGTTCAGAGGACTGGGTGCTTGCTGGGCTTTTCTTTGATTGTAGTCTTTTGCTCCAAGGTGAGAAGTGGGAAAAGTGTGTATTAGCAACTATTAATTTACTCCCTCTACATTTGCTGGCCACATTCTCATTTCTAAACATCTGGATGTGGATAAAGTTTTGAAGAGATACCAGAAACAAAAATGGTGTTTTGTTTTGTTTTTCTTCCCCCATGATGATAGTCTGATTTTACCAAAATCCCCAAAGAAAGAAAATGTAATGTGTACAGCTTGATTTCTTGGATGTAGCCTATCAAATCATTAACCCAGCCCATCTTTGCAGTCATAAATTCCTACCTCTTAAGTTCCTACCAAAGGGTCTTCAGCCTCTATGTGCACACTCATCAAATGAATGCCTTGCCTAAAGTTTAGTCCATTGGGAAGAAACAGCATTTGGTGATTTTTAAAATGAGATAAAAATAAAATAACAGTTTCTGCCTCTCCTTTTATCCCCTCTCAAACTGTCTCACCCCCTGCCCCCACCCCCACAAACCATGTCCCAGATTCCAGTATCTCTTTGTTTTTGTTTGAATGTGGGCCTTGATGGGGAGGGAGAGGATGAGTCTAACAACAAGGAACAGAAACCTCTCAACGTTGTGGGAGCACCAGTGATTTGCTAGTTCTGCTGTAGGTGCCAAAGGCAGCATTACTTGTTGGGAGTGTTAAGGGGTTTAGCATAAGACAAATCTATAAAGTGTTTGTTGATAAAGCTTGTTATGAGCTACTAGTCCAAATGTGTTGGGATTCAGAGGCAGTCTAGGATTTAATTAGGGAAATGCCCATCTGGCAGAATGGGAATGAAGGTGTGGCCTGCAGTGATTTTTGGAGGTGGAGGGGGATGCTCAGCCTCACTATCATATCAAGGGTACCTCAGAGTATACAATCATTTAAGAGTGCACCTCCCTTCTGTCATTTCACCTTGTTCTTCATCCTCCTTCCCCATTATCCTGCCTTTTTAGTACTCAGCTTTATATATATACATATATACATGTATATATATATATACACACACACACACAAGTATTTACTTTTTTATTATATATTTGGTCCTTTGGGACTGTGTAATGATTAAAATTTTATTCCATTCAAGATAACAATGATATGTGTAATGACATATTTTTTCATTCTCTTAAACTGTCTTTTGACGCTATGCTG